TCGGAACCTGGGTGCTCTGCAGAAGAGCTGGAGAGGACCACCCACAGCTGGACACTCTGCATGTGACCTCGTGCTTGACGGCCGTGTGCTCCGGCACCAGCAGAGCGTCGTGCCCCTCGCTGGCTCAGAGCTGAACAAGGTGCTCCTCCATGGGAGCTTGGAGAGGAAAGCCGGGGGGCTCCATGGGGGGCGCAGAGCCGAGGAGCACAGGCAGAAGGTCCCGGAAAAGGTCTGGCCTAGCTGCACAAGGTCAGCACTGGGTCGGCGGGGGCCGCAGGAGCACTGGCCTGCGAGCACTCACTCCACAGCCCCGTCCTCGAGCCGTCTGCAAGGGGCGACACTGCCAGGCCCCTGCCCAGGCCTCTGTGGCGCCACCCCCGCGCCCCCCTCACTTCTCCTCGACTCTCCCACCCCATTTCCTTCCCCAGATCAATGGTCGTCACCACCTCTTCACTTACAGCAGGGACCAGCTCAGTGCCGTTCCCCAGGAGCACAGGAGCATGGTCAGTGGCAGCTGGAAGCCATCCTGCTGACCTCCCTCCCCAGCACAGAGAGGGCAGGCGGCAGAGGGACTTCAACAGAGCGTCGAGCGATGCTGCACCAGGAAACTGCAGGAAACGACGCGGTACCACATCACAGCTAGCTGCTGGCAGAAAGAAAGCCTGCCGCGGCAGCCACACGTGTCCACAGTGGCCAGACACACACGATTTACAGGGAGACTTGCTTAGCGGGCAGCTGAGTGGCCTGCCTGCTCCATCTGCTTTCTCTGGAGGGCCCGGTCCTGCCTGCAGCTGCCCTGGAGCCCAGCAGCAGAGCCTTATCACGCGAGCCGGACCAAGCTCTGGGCAGTCAGCAGGACACACGGCCTGTTCCTTCCCAGCAGTAGCCCCTCAGCTGGCGACACGGGACCACAGGTTGGATCTATAGGGTGGCAGACACCCAGACAGAACCTCAGAGTCTCTGCCAACGTCTGATGCACTGTGGCTCATGCGCACGGGTTTGAAACTGCCCTTCGTGTCCCTCCTCGCCCAGGAGTGAGCAGTGGATGCCTCTCAGCAGCAGGCAGCTGCTTCAGGCCTGGGCTTGATGGATGGCCTCACTCATGTCGGGAGATCCTCCTCAGGGTCTCTGAGAAGGGCCAGTGCAGCCTGCTGGTCTACTCCACCCACAGCAGCCTCCACCCCGGGAGGCATGGGGTGTGGGTTTTGTGCCTGTGACCCCCGTGCAGACTTCCCAGCACGAAGGGCTGAGCCTCATGACTGATGTGCACGGCCAAGTCCACCCTTCTGCCCACCAGGCAGTAGCTGTGTCCATAATATTTACGGCTCGGCGTGTTTGATCACTGCTGCACAGACTTGCGATCGTCGTGAGCCAGGGGGAAGGCTCAGCCCGGGCGCCCTGCCAGGTTAGTAAAACTTTCCATGAGGAGAGCTTTGTGTTCTCTCCCAGAGCAGCTTAAGCTCAGGAAAGCAGGGGGGGTACGGAGAGAAGCAGCCCAGACAGCAGACGCRCTCGGGCCGCCTGGTCTACCTGCTCGTTGTTGTAATGACACGTAGCGTCCTGCACACCCAAGAGCCCCGGAGAGGACTGAAAGGCTTGCCGGTGGCAGAGGCTGCAGGGCAGTTGCAGGAGAAGGGGCAGCAGTARAGGAAGTGCCTCGGGACCCCTCACTTTAGTCCACAGTGGGGGGAGAGTGCTCTGTGGCTCTTCCAGGACTTCTGACCTGGGGGCGTCCACCTGAGGAGGGGCTGGTGTGAGGAGCCACGCAGGCTCAGTGGCCTCCAGAGGGCCTGCCTCCAGAGCAGGAGCAAGGCCACACATGCCTCTCCACGACGGCAGCTTGGGAAAGAGAACCAGGAAAGAGCTCTTACAGAGCCCTGGCCTGACCTCAGGACCCTAGCCCCAAATCACGTTCAGAGCCGCGGGAGGTCCATATGCCTCTGTGGTGCTGCTGTGCTTGAGAAGTCTGAACTGGACGCTCACATCTTATGCAGATTGTTGGAACAAAAAAGAAATCGTCACTGGAATGTATTTATGGGTCAAGGACTTTTGCAGTAAAACTTGAGCCTAGAAAGAGCTGGAAACCTAAGAATACTTTTAAAAAAAAGTGGGATTCATTTTTTTTATTCTGAGCCTCCATTATTCCTGGGGCTACTGGAAAGCAGGCCCAGTGCAGTGTCCTGCAAGTCCCAGGGCACCCAGGCCCTCTGGGGCCAGTGAGCAGACTGACCCTCTGGACCTGAACATGGCATCTCATCACGGCCTTTTCTTTTCTCGGTACCAGGGAGCATCGACCACTGGGCCACATCCCCGGCCCTATTTTGTATTTTATTTAGAGACAGGGTCTCACTGAGTTGCTGAGCGCCTCACTGTTGCTGAGGCTGGCTTTGAACTCGTGATTCCCCTGTCTCGGCCTCCCGAGCCGCTGGGAGGTGTGCACCACCACAGCCATCTTTGTCACCACGGCCTTTTCACTCGGCATGCCCAAGAGACAAAACCTGAAACCAGCACATGCCAGGAACATTCCTCCCCACACCTCCCAGCCTGGTGGCCCCAGTGTCACCAAGAGACAGGAGCCAGACACCCTGCTGGCCTGAGCGCTGAGCAGGACCTCAGGAGTGGCCAGGGGAAGGAGGAGTGTGCCGAGGACCTGCACTGCACCCTGGCCGGGAAGGGGGGCCCTCAGGGTCCCTGTACTCCTCAGTCCCCAGCCCAGCCCTCCTGGCCAGAGGCTCCTTTGCTGGCTGTCCCTGTGTCCCTTCCTACAGGCAACTGTGTGGTTGCAGGAGACTAGGTCTGTCCTCGGACGAGGACCGCGCAGAGGAAAATTCCAGAAGAGAGCCACTCAGAATCCTGGAGCACAGCCCGGCCTGCTCAGCCTGGCCATGCCCAGCCCAGACCTGGGGCTGTCAGAAGGAGCCCCTCGCCCACCTATAACCCAGCGTGTCTGCCCCCCGACTCTGACCTCCCCCTGTTGTGTGGGCTGGAATGTTGATCTGCTCTCCACTCTGAAGTCACTGGAAAGGTAGTTTCCAACTCTGATGGTGCTCCTCCCCTGGGTGGCCACAAATCAAATGGAAAAGACGCCAAAGGCAGGGCAGGCCTCCGTCTGGCGGGGCCCCTTCTCCCCCCAGAGAGTTGGGGCGTCTAGCTCCTCCGTCCGCATCCGCCATGCTGCACCTCGGGGTAGAGGTCGGAAACGCCTCTGGTCCTCCCGGGAGTTAGGGTGAAACTCAACAAAACACACGCCAAGGCCACGGCGCTCCCGGCCCCCTCCGGGCGGCGGCGCTCCCTGTGCACAGCCCAGCGCTGCGTCCTGCCCGATGACTCCCGGAAAGGCACCTGCTCCTCCCAGCGCGGCTCACCTGCCCCACATCTCACACTCACAACAGCCGCATCCGACCTGGGCAGCTGTGACCTCTAGCACGGCAGGAAACCTGGCCAAGGCCCGCTTCCTGTCTCTGGGCCAAAGGGCACTGCCCAGATGTGGAGCCCAGGGTTGGCCAGCTGCACGGCCCCTGCCGGCCACAGAGCTCAGCAGGAGACACCAGTGCTGCCAGGCAGTGCTGCCGTGAGGGGCAGAGGCAGAAGCACACTGGGGCCAGGCCACCCACCGAGGCAGACAGGCTGCTGCGCCACCGTGACAGGCCCAAGGGGGACGGGGAAGGAGCGATGCACACACTAGCAGAGACCTTCCTGACACCCGCACAGCGGTGTCCACTCTCCAGAGCCATGGCCCGAAGACAGACGTGAAAGGAAGCAGAGACCAGGGAGGAATGCCTCTAACCAGCTGTCGTGGACAGAGGAGGTGGACAGAGAGGGCCCTGCTGCACACAGACACAACCACCACATACACCACAGACCAGGGCTAGAACCCCGTGAGCCCGTGTTCTGCATGCATCGTCCTCACGAAGCTCACGCCATGAGTCAGGGGCTTGCAGGAGTTCTCAGCAGAGGCCTCGGAGACCCTGGCACAAGGGCCTGGCCCACCAGATCAGAGAGCTGCCATGGACCCTGGATGCTCACAGACCTGAGCGTAGGGGGCTGTGCACATGCAGAATGGCCACTGCCATGTAGAAGCCAGCTGTACCCAGCTCTGAGCTGCACGGGAGGTTGCCAGGCCCTGGCCTGGCCTGAGAGGAGCACATCCTGGCTGTCACAGGCCCTGCCTGAGTCGGTGGAGGAAGGAGGGGGCCGGGCCCTGCTCCAGGTGGGTTGCTTTGCATCATGCTGATCTAGAAGATGATCCACACCTGGGAAAGCTGACCGTGCCTCAGTCAGAGCTCAGAGGCCTTCAGGGACAACAAGGTCAGAAAATACCAGGAACCTACCGACCAGCAGGTCCTGGCTCCGTTCACTAGACCAGCTGCCACAGCAATTATGTGGCCTGGAGCTCCTTATGACTGGCCAAAGAGGCTGACTCCTCCAAACACAGTCCACAGAAGAGCAAGAGATCTCCTCGTCACCATGGGAAGATGTCAGAACCCGAGACCTCTGCCATCAGTCCTGCTCTGCAGACGGCCTAGACACACCGCGTCCAGATCGGTCACCTGTACCTCACTCCTGTGCCCATCCACGACACCATGTTATCTAGCTTTTTCCATGGAGCTGGGTGGGCGCCCTGGCTAGAAGGTGCACCGCTAGGCGGTATTTAAGACTGTCCTTTAAGGAATCTCCCAGACACCGAGCCAGGAGGTTCTGAGTGGACGTGGTCCCAAGGGAGGCCTTACCAGCTGGGACTTCCTGAGTGTGGGCTGGTGGCTCTTTCCTCAGTTTTTGTCATGAATCTGGCGGTCCCCAGTTAATTGGCCCTGGTAGGGGTAGGGTCCCCGAGATGACTGGAGCAGTCACCCCAGCAGCACTGCCCAGGCTACTGTCTCCAGGCCACACCGTCCAAGGGCGCTCCTCTGCGACAGCCTGGTGGCACAGCCCGCCTTCCTGCACAAACTCAGGCCGGGGCACCGGGTGGAGCGCACACCTGCACCGGCGCGGGCACTTACCATCGTCCAGGTACAACTGGTCCAATTCTTCAGGTTCTCGCTTGACCATTACAGGAATAGGGGCCAAATTACGAGTACTGTCCTCCCGCACCTCTGGCAGTGACTGTGGTCTCGCGGTGGGAGCCTCGCTCCTTCGACCCTTTGGCAGTTGGTGCTGCTGGTGGCCCATGGTGGGAGGGTGGGCTGAGGGCTGCAAACAGGGTGGCCCGTGGGCAGCGGACGGAGGTGGAGAAGAGGGGCTGCTGGGACAGAGAGCTTGCTGGCGACCGAGAGGACAGCTACTGCTCAGAAGTGGACTCACCTGCGGCTGCAGCAGGACGGGAGGGGGCTGCTCAGGCGAGCCGGGCTGCATGGCCAGGGGTCTCGGCACTTCCTGAAGGGTGGGGTCCTCTGCAGCCAGTGGCTGGAGTCCAAGGTGGCTGTGGCCTGGGCTGGCCAGACCCTGGGAGTAGGCAGCAGAGGAAAGGTGGTGGAGCTTCGGGCTTGCGCTGGGAGGCGTGGGCATCAGGGTGCTCCTCTGGGCACAGGGGGCAAAGCCCCCCACAGGGCAGGAGCCAGGGTCGGGTGGCACTGTGAGCTGCTGGCTGTAGCATGGCCGTGGGAGGGGACCTAGCCCCTGGCCCGCTGCTCCACAGGTCAGGGTGGGCTCGTAGTCATCCGTGGGCTCTGTTTTTATAACTGGAACTGTGGGGAGGAAGAAAAAGTCAGATGGACACAGGTTGCAGAGGGGTACGGCCAGGAGGGCTGTGGCCAGGACACCCGCGAAAACAAACAGCGTCTTGACGGAGCCCCGTGTCCGACAGCTTCTCCCACCCAATTAAAGAGCCCAGTGAGTCAGCGGCTGGGAGAGTCGCAGCTGGTTCCAATACTGAGGATCAGGACTGTTTTCCTTGGAATCCGCCCCAGCTCTAACGTGCTATAAAAACCCATTTGCAAACTGCAGTAGAAGTTTTGGGCCCAAAGGCCAGAGGATTTGTAGCAATCAAAGTGAAAACTTTAACTCCAGGCACTACTGCACTGCCCCTGCCGGATGGATGCCAATACGGGTCCCCTGAAGGAGCGGGAGCCTGGCCTTGGGCGCAGCAGTTACTGGCGGGGAGGTACCACATCCATTTGCTGCAGGAGTGGCTATGAGTCACTTTTAAAAACAATGCAGTCGGCAAAGCTGCCTCCCATCTCCACTCCTGCGCGGAAAGTGCAGACGGCTGGCTAGCAGGAGACAGGCCGCTCTGCCCCAGATCCAGAGCTGCCGGCTCTCTAGGCCCACAGAGGCTGTAGTGCAGGAAAGACGTGGCCTCTGGGGCTGGGCCCCAGTCCCGGCCACGGCCAGTGCGGGAGCCAGGTCTTCCCTGGTGCTGGGTGCCTCCACTTCCGCAGCACGGTCGGGTGGCTTGCGGGTGGCACGTGGGCAGAGAAGAGGCACCGGGCAGACCCAGCAGGGCCTGCTCTGCCCTCCCACTGTTGTCACAGCTGCAGTCTACTGGCCTCACCTCTTCTGCCATTCGGAAGAGCTCTCTAGATGGCCAGCTTACTCTGCAAGTGACCAGCAGGAGTGCGCTTCAGTGAGTAGGGCCATGGCTCCAGCGGCACCGTCCTGGGGCTCCCGCCACCTCTCGCCTCTTCACAGGCTGTGCCCGTGGCTCCCCGCCCCCGCCCCCTGCGGGCCTGGGTGCCAGCCCTTGAGACAGGCTCCGGGCACCAAGCAGAGCGCACTGCCCCGCAGGCGGACGGGCTCCCTCCACAAATGGAAGCACACCTACGTTTTGAGAGAGAACTGTGACCACGGTTTTGAGCCAGCGAGAACATGCGTCTGCTCCGCACCACGGCGGGCAGTCTGCACCACAGCTATGAGCCACACAGACGGACTTCCCGGCAGGAGCATCCCGCCACAGCCCCGTGGCTCTGCACGTGGCTCCCGGGTGCCGTGGCTCTGCCTCCAGCCCTGGAGGGGGTGGCTAGCTTCCTCTGGCCCATCCTCGTTCCTCAAGTCTTTTTAAATATTTTTATTTTTTAGTGGTTGAGGGACCTTTATTGATTTTAATGTGGTGCTGAGACTCGAACCCCGTGCCTCACTCATGCCAGGCAAGGGTGCCACCCTGAGCGCCCAGCCTCCGGGCTTCAGGTCCTTAAAGCACCCTCTTGTGCTCTGAGGGGCCGCTGTGGGCTCTGCGGCCCTGGCCTCGGGCAGGGCCGACTGCAGGAGGCCAAGCAGCAGGGGCGACCTCCTCGGCCTTCCTGGACCCGGCTGCAGCCCTGGTGCTGTCCTCCGCACGGCAGGCCTCGCTCCACTGAGGCTGCAGAAGTCCCCCGGGGCCTCCGCTCTCCCCCCGAGCCCAGGGATTCCAGGCCTGCGCCCAGGGTGCTCCTGGGCCTAAYCCGGGAGTGTGCTGAGGGCAGCCTCTGAGAGGGCAGGGAGTGCTGGACTTGTCCATCGGCAAGTGGACACCCCCGTGTACCACGACCTTCCAGGAGAGGACGCGGCTCGCCTGCCCCAGGCAGCCCGCTGCCCGTGCCACCCAGCACCGGGGGTTCTCTTTCCTTTCCTCAGGACATGGCCCACCAGGCCCTGGAGTCCCTCAGAGAGCTGCCACCAGCCGCACTGTGACAGGGTGACCGGCCTGATGCAGAGCCATGGGTCAGTCACAGGCGACAGCAGGAGCCAGCCCACAGCCGTGCCCCCGGGAGTCAGGGGGCTGTGGGTGCCTCCCTGCCGGGCCCACGTCCTCTGACGAGGCTGCTCTCTGGCAGTGACCTGGAACCCCGAGCTGACTGCTGAGACGGCCCTGGACAGCAAGGCCTGGTAGTGCCTGGGCTGGGGAGCGGGCCTGGCCGCACTGGAAGGAGCACTCTGTCTCGGCCTGAGGCCGGACGTGGTGGCAGCCCTGCTCCGTGGCTCCCAGGGTGGGAGGTGGACGAACCCTCCTCAGGGATCCCATCAGCTTCTCACACGTACGTCGGGAGCCATGCGCTCAGCCCCGACGGTGGACACTGGCTGCTCCTAGAGCCACGCTGAGGGAGGTACTGGGTGTGGGTCCTGTGTGACGCCGCGGGCCAGGAGCTTTCCCGGCAGACCTTCCTGGGAGGATCTGAGGCCACTGCCATCGCCCTCTCCCAGGCCTGCTCCTGTGCCGGTCCCAGGACTGCTGTGTGTGAGGGAGGGCCCGTGGGCACCTGCCCTGGAGGACACGTCCTTGTGCTGGGGAGAACAGCACTGGGCCCTGGGAGGTCACCCTCGTGATCCCAGCAGAGGTGTGAGGAGCTGCGAGGGTCCGAGCAGTCTGGAACCCCGGAGCCCAGGCGAGGCAGGGGGACACACAGGGCGCAACCTCGTCTCAGAGCCCACCTCCCTCCCCGCGGTTCCGCAGGGAGGCTGCCTCTCAGGAACTAACCCCGGCCAGAATCGCTGCAGCTGGTTAAAGATGGTGGGAGGAAGCCAGGCCCAGAGAGGCACCTGGGAGGCAGAGTGCGGCCCAGCCAGCTCTGAGAACAGGCGCTGGCCTGGAAGGGACATGCTGTCACGTGAAGGGCCAGGAGAACGAGCAGCCCAGGAGTTTAAGAGGCCCCTGTGAGAGGCCAGCGTCCACGGCCAAGGTCCAGTTCTATACTGGCTCCTCCCGGAGCTCAGGATCCTAAGATGGTGTGTCTGGAAGGCTACGTCAGTGCCTTCTGGGTCCTCTCCGCGCACTGTGCTCTGAGCCAGGCGCTGCCAGCCCTCCTGGCCCGGGAAAGCTCTGCCGACTGCCTGGGGGACACGATGGTGGAGCCCCAACACAGCTGCCCCCTAAGAGCTGGCAGACGTGATTTATCTGCACCCAGGGACAGTGACAGCCAGCAGGGCTGGACCTGGGCCAGCCACCAGAGGCCAGAGAGGCCAGGCGGGGAGTGGGGGGGTGYCGCCCCCAGGCCCTTCAGGCCTGTTTAGGAGGCCTGCGGCCGGGCGCTAACTACTGCCCCTCTCCCACTGCCTGGGTTCTTGTAGAGAGCCTCGTGGTGCAGGGACTCCAGCCTCTGGCTCTGAGGCTGCAGAGTGGACAGGGAAGGTCTTGGGCTGGGCCCATCTCGCCTTCCTCCCTCCTAAGCACAGGGCTGGGAGCCACAGGACCCCCTCAAGCCTGCACTTACACAGCGGTCCCTGCTGCTCTCTGGGGGCTGTGGCCGTGCCCTCAGGCTGAGGAGAGATGGGGCAGAGGCTTGGAACATGTCACGAGAGGTGCCTTCCAGCCGAGCTTTGAGTGGGTGCCACCAGACGGGCTGCCCGCGGGCCCAGCGTGCCTGCCCCCTGTAGCTGGCGAGGCCCCGCCCTGGCTGGGAACCACGTGCCCTCCACCTCTCTCAGCCTGGCTGCCGTCATGGTGGTGCCCACTGGGCACTGCAGCTGGAGCAGTTTCCCGGCATCTGGGGCAATGCCCCAGGGGAGCCTYGTCTTGGAAGGTGCTGGTGCCTGGGCCTTTGCTCTCTGGGCTGCTACCGGCATCTCCTCCAGACTACCCTTCTGAGGTCCCACGTGCCCAAGGGAAGCAGTGGGGTGGTGCCAGAGGAGGGCCATCAGTCCCTGGCACCCAGGGGAGGTGGCTTGGGTGGACAGCCTGACTCCCTGCCCATGAGCCGCGAGGTCAGGTCTTCCCAGCAGAACTGAAGAGGCCTGCAGGCCAAGTGTCCTTGCGAGGTGCTGCTGTCCACGTGTGGGCTTCTGAGGAAGCCAGAGCCACATAGGAAGGGGCCTCCAGGCTCCCCTTGGAAAGAACATGTCTGGTGCGGAAGCCCCGGAGTCTGGTCCTGCCCGTCCTCTGCTGATCCACGGGGAGGGAGTATCCTCACTGACCAGTGCTGTGCTCCTGCAGGCTCCCGCCCACTGGGCTGGGGTTGTGGTCCTGGGATCCAGTGTGGCCTGACTCAGCAGGCGAGGCGAGCACCCCGAGAAATACCACATTGCCCGGTGGCGAGTGTGTGACCTGGACTCATCACAGAGAGTGGAGGCGGGAGAGAGGGAGGCGGGTCCCGAAGTCGCCATGGCTCACTAGGTGTGCTCACGGAGAAGCCAGGCTCTTGGTGTCTGCGGCCACAGAGCCCTTGGACTCCACACAGCCAAGTGCCATCGGCACAGCTGAGCCCTGGGCGAGGAATCTCTCAGCTGGGTCCCCAGCCTGCCTGTCATGGCTCTCGTGCGGCACTCAAGCCCTGCCTCTGGCCAGTGTTCTGCAGCCACAGGGCTCCCCCAGGGAAGCGGGAGCTGGAGTCCCGACCCCGCCCATCCTGCCTGGGACGGCTTCAGTGCAGGGACAGTGTCAGGAGAGTGCCCTTCCTGGCCTCTGGCAGTCCCTGTGGGCCAAAGGGCATCTGAAACATTCCTGAGCCCGGGGGCAGGGTGCCCCCAGGGAGTCCACCTCCTGGTCCTGTGGTCCGTGGCTGGGCCCTCGGGCCAGGCAGAGCCGGCGCTGGCCCAGAGCAGCTGTGTCCCAAGCCCAGCAAGCRTCCCCAGGAGTCTCCCTTGGCTGCCCTGCTGGGTCCAGGTGCCCTTGGGGCTCTCAGACGGAGCCCTGCCCTACCTCCCTGGAACAAGTRCCAACATGTTCCTGCTGGCCCGGCTGGGCCTGGGGTGGACAGAGCTCCTGCAGTCACCCGGAGAGTCCCCTGGAAGCAGCTAGTCCTGCCCAGCACAGCCCAGGTCTCCTCCTGCCTGGCCT